TGCTTCTTTAAAATGCATATAACTAACACCCTTTCAGTGTGAACTTTTATTTCATGGAGAGACTTTGCACACTTTCTATTAGACGTAATAAGGGAAGTGTTTCAGTTTAACAATTTAATGCTAGTGCTGTTGGTCTTTCATTATTCTGGACTCATGGACCGCTTTTGCAGAATACAGCTTTAAAATACAGCTCAACATTAAAGGATTTTGAAATAAGGTGAAAATGCTCTTATTTCTCTTTTGAGTGGGTCCTTTATTTTAGTATCTATAAGAGAACTACTCTCTTCTCCAAATCCTTTCTCCCCAGGAGGAATCAGAAGGGACATTTTGACTTATTTTAAGTTAAGAGGCTGAAAAGCTTTAGAGGAGGCATTGTAATCTGCTATAAAATATGTGCAGGACAGAGGCGTAGATTTGGAGTTGTTGGTAGCTCTCCAACATAGGAGAGAAGCATGAGATTATTAGATTACTCACAAAGTGTTAATCCTGCAGCAGTGAGGAAATTTGTAAAAAAAATCCCAATCCTTGTGTTTACACCAGATTAGCTAGTGCAAAGAGGCAAACATCTCTTCTTCCGTTGTTGCTTTCAGATGTATAATCTATCCTGTTGACTCTTCCAGAGTTCACGTACAGAAAATGTTGTCTCTAAAATTGTGTTAGTTGCAAAGCAATGTCTCCCCTCATTAAAAAAATCAGTGGAGATCATTTTGTATAATCTATCCTGTTGACTCTTCCAGAGTTCGCGTACAGAAAATGTTGTCTCTTTAGTTGCAAAGCAATGTCTCCCCTCATTAAAAAAATCAGTGGAGATCATTTAGTCCAACCCCCCTGCTAAACCAGGTTCACCTAGAACAGGTGACATCGTCCAGGCGGGCTTTGAATATCTCCGGAGAAGGAGACTCCACAACCCCCCTGCGCAGCCTGTTCCAGTGCTCTGTCACCCTCAAAGTAAGGAAGTTCTTCCTCATATTCAACTGAAACCTCTTATGCTTCAGTTTGTACCCATGGCCCCTTGTGCTGTCACTAGGCACCAGTGAGGAGAGTCTGGCTCCGTCCTAGTAACATCCACCCTTAAGATATTTGTAAGTATTTATAAGATCCCCTCTCAGTCTTCTCTTCTTCAGGCTGAACAAGCCCAGCTCCCTCAGCCTTTCCTCACAGGGGAGATGCTCCAGTCCCCTCATCATCTTTGTAGCCCTCCTCTGAACTCTCTCTAGGAGTTCCTCATCATTCTTGAACTGGGGAGCCCAGAACTGGACACAGACTGAACTGGAGCGCAGAACAGGCCAGCATTCATAAGTGACTATCTTAACCCATACAGTTTGTACAATGAGATAGGTGACTTTCGGCTTTTGGTACCTTGTCACTCAGTCTGAACATTAAGAACTGGTTTTACTTGGCTTCCAAGAAGATGACAAGTTTAGCATTTTGAGCTAGTGGAGCTGGGCTGGCTTGGTAAACATGCTAAGGTAGTTGGTAGGGATCTTGAAAGCCCTAAAGCAATGTATTTAAGGACTCACAGTGCCGTGAGTCCACCAGCAGTGATAGTCCTATCTTTTGGATAGTGTGGAGAGTACTGTGTTCACTGGGCAGAAGAGCATCCTTCCTGGGCAACACCTCCTGCTAAGCTATTTCCAACCCAGTCGTGCAAACTTTGTTTTATCCATCATGATTGTGACTCCGTGATATTGACACTCCCAGCACCTGTAGAAACTCAGTGGACAAAAATGAATCAAACTCAGCAAGCAGAAGACATAGCGTTTGTTCCTTTCTAATGCAGTTTCCATGAAAGCAAATGGTTCCTGCCAACAAAGGCGGCAGGTTCTAAAAACACCAACGAATTGCAGGTTTGAGAGAGAAATTTGTCTCCATTCACAGATTTATCACTGTGCCAGCAGCCAAGCCCTGGTCAGCAGGTCAGGACTTGGACAGACTTCACAACAGATTACTTGGTGGCAGCATTATAGGAATTCAGAAATCCTGTACTTCACAGACAGACCTAGGCCTGCTTCCCATGGCTCGTACTCTATTACCAGCCACTTTTGCTTCGTCAGATGTCAGTCATCTGTGCACCATGTGTAAGGACACTTTCCAGAAAAAAAAGGATTTTTTTTCCCTTGTCACATGTTAGTGATATTTGTAGACTGGTGAATATTAGAACTAATCAGCCTCCTTGGGAACCATAGGCTTGGGATATTACTGTGCAAACAGATAGAGAAGGGCTAATACTCTTACATTATCTGTAAACATCTCTCCTGCGTCTAATTCCTGACACAGCATACAGAAAAAATATGCTTCTGTTCCATTATGTGCTTTTTCTTCAGTTTTTGTCTTTAATAGAACAATTAACATAACTTTTAAGAGCTTACAGTTTGAATACGATAGGCTTCATTGATTTTTATTTTTAATTTCCCACTGCTGGTGTTTGCTACTAAACACTTTCCAGTGGTGACAGAGAAGTAGACTATATCATGATGCTTTACATGAAGTGGATATTCCTTTTTACCAATATATTGAAACTCAAAAAAATCCAGAGCCAGACTAGAAACATTCAGTTTAAACCCCGGGCTCATTGGGTTTGTTTGTTACCAAGTATCTCCTGAGGTTCAGTGCCGAGTAAGAACTACATTGCTAGTCTCTCAATAGGTGAGATTATATTTGCTTATGAACTGGTGGGTGTTAAACAAAAATTGTGAATTGTCACTTGCTTTGCACTTTATAAAGAAAAATCCAGAGTCCCTGAAGGAAAATCTAAAGGTTACAGTGGAGCTTTGATTTTATTTTCTTTTTCACCCACAACGCCATGTTTAAAAAACAGAATTAAATCATCTGTGTGTCTTCAAGTCTGGAAGTGCTATAAGTCCAGCACTCCTGATAGTAACATAATTTCTTTAGGGGTTCAGACACTGACACCAGACACTAACCTTAACTTTTTGTTTTCTAAAATCTTGTTGTTAAGAATCATCTCTTTGCTTAATTATGTAATAAGCTCCATAGAGCTTCTAGAACCAAGACCCCAATTTTTATAATTATTACAATTTACCTTTGCAGCCTATACTAAAGACTGTTTTATATGAAATGTTTTCATGTCCTATAAAAATATCTTGGTTCCTACAAAGTGCAGTAAAATAGTTAAAAATAAACTACTGTGGCAATGTGCAAGGGAACAAATGAGCTCAAATGGGGAAACAGACACTCAGAATTGGTTCATGTTCACTGGCTCAGACTCATTTCTCCCTCCTGGAGGCTTTCGAGTAAGTCAGCTTTAATTTAGAGGTGGGGCCCTGGGATCCCCCTCTCCAGTGACACCTTCGGTAGGAAACGTATGGGTCCCGTGTGGGTTACTCTGCATTAACCTGTGGTTGTGTTGCCTGGGAATATGGTGCAGGTTGTCTACCACCCACTACTGAAGTAGCAGGTGGAGCAAGAGCTCTCTGCCATGTGGAAAAGAATACAGACCTTGACAGTATCTCATGGCTTTATAAAAGTATATGAGCTATGGGGACAAACCCATTAGGATGAATTGTTGACATCAGTGATGCTTACTGTTGAAAGTAAGAAACCAAACTGCACTTGTGGGTCCTTCCCCCCCAAAAGGTTGTCTGCCCACCATTCTTTGCTCGTTCTGCTTTGAGATCCTCTGATTAGGCTTTGTCTCCCTATTGTTTTCCCCAAATAAAAGCAGTGATATATTTTTATGAAAACGTTATTTTTTATGGTGCATTAATGGACTAATGTTCTTACATTACCTGTAAATCTGTGTAAATAAAGGCTATTTTTAAAACCTTCCTGTACTGTTCCAAGGCTTGTTTACATTTTTCAAAAGGCTGTTGTGTTGGCATTATAATGTAAAAAGGGAAAGCACCTCTTCTGATAGTAGCAAAACCAAATAAAACCTTCAGTAATGTGAAGCACATATTTGCTCATGAGTTACCTTTTTGGTTTTGCCTCAGTATACTGGACATTTGCAAAGTACAAACAATACAGAAGTATTCAGAAATTAGTATGTTTATGCTCTGAGGCCTAAAAGATCCCTTTTTACATAAAAGGTTGGTAAACTGTTTATGTTTATTTGTTGTACAATGATTCCAAATACGTAGTTTATTTTTCTGTTTTAGGCTTCTAAGGACCCAGTCCCTGGATTGGTACTACAATAATGTCAAAAGCCGCTTTAAGTGTTTTGGAAGTGCCAAAGTCCTGAAGAACTTATACAAGAAGCATAGACTGGAGAGTGGAGTTTGTCCTGATGTAACAGGTAAAAACAGCTGTGTTGGTTTTGTATTGGCTTATCTACTTTAGCACGCAAGCTGAGACAATGAAATTTTGAGATTATTTCAAAAATTAATTTTTAAGGCTTTTTTTTTTTAAAAGAAATACCTCAGTGGAGAGAAAAAAGAGGTGAAGTGTCCAGAGAGCTGTTTTAAGAATTCAAAGAATGTTTAATCTTAATTATGCCAGTGATACAGGAGAACTGTTATCTTCAGTCCATAAATAAATTGCCGTTTGTATTCTAGCTTGTATTCCAAAATTTATCAAAGTTCTGAGTAGTCAATGAATGAGAAAATAATTTTGCATTCAGTATTTGGCCTTGGAGCATATTTCCAGAGTGTTTGAAGCAAAATTTGGTTAACATGGGATACATCCAGTATCCAGGTTGACCAAAACTTAGATTGTCCTCACTTAGAGTTTTGCATGCTTAAGGATCTGGAACTGGCCATGTCTTATTTTTGTATTGATGTTTGTAAACAGTTAAAAGATGCTGATTAAGTATTGGCATCGCCCTTTTAAATGAAAAGACACAATTCTCCCTTAACTATCGTGTTACAATGCATCACCCCATAAGAAAAGTAATTAGAGATATAAAATGGGTTAGAATTGGTGTTTGGTGTCATACTGGTAACTTTAGCAAATTACTCAAAATGCAGCTTGCTGAATGTTTGAAAGTTCATTGGATTTATTGGACCAGATACCTACGGTAATTCTTTTGAAATTTGTACAGAGAATGTAATTTTTCTATAGTCTTTACTTTGTCTTTTTCTGAAATTATTTAGCATGATAAGTGGACTCTCTAGTCCTGAGTGAAAATTTTAGGTGTTTCTCTCATTAATATTGGCATAAAAGCTTCTAGAGAGAAGCAGCCTATGCATTAAATTCTGATTTATTAGTCTTTTTGCTTTCTCTGTATCAAATTCATTTTTCTAGAGAAGATTCCGTAACAGTTGAGAACAAACGTGTGAAGACAAGAAAATCCTTGTCAGTGAGGGCAGAAGTGGGACAATGGAATTAAAAACTGTGGGGATGGATCCTTCAGAACTGTACTATGATGTGTTGCCTTTACTTAAGCCGTGGTCTCACTGAATTTGTCCTTGAATGGAAGTGTGAACAGTGCAATGACAAGTCGCAGTGGCATGTGCATTCTCTGTGAGACCTTTCTAAGGAAGGCCTTTGAGTCTAAATGTCATTGTTAACTCTCTTCTACACTCTGTGTGACTGCTAGGTAAACCTTTTGTTCCCTTTGAAGATAAATACTAGTATATGTGTCTGGGGTTTGGCTTATTTATACAGCATTGCCCTTTAAAATGTAGAATCTATTTCAACCCCAAATGTCATATTAAAGGCAAATTCCCTGCACCTAACTTCTACCGTGTAAGTTTTGTACCTAGTAGCTTCTTCCTCTCTCTCTTTTACTGTACGAATAGTTTTCTCCATCTAAAATGAATGAGGTGTGTTTCATATAAAAGCAGTCACATTTTCTACAAAAACTGCTGCAGTCATGGTTTATACAAAAGGTAGGAGGAATTTTCTAGTTATCCCTCTGTGTGCAGTGCCACTGTATCTTGAGTGAATATTCTAATCTAATAATGCCTCTGCTGATAATGGGTACTTCTTATACTAACGCATGGTACTGTCTTTTTTGAGCAGAAGGAGGTTTTTTTGAAGGAAGCTTTGAAAATGAAGGAAGTATTTGTGGCAGTGACTCTACATTTTACCGACAGACAGAAGGTATGCTGCTAAAAACTCCTTTGATTAAAACACAGTCCTTATACTTCGGATTACCGGACAAATAGCCTAGAGTGCTGGGAAGTCTTGATCACAGACCCAATAGTCTTTTAGCTGAAACGTTTAGCAAGATACTAAAAATCCTTTCTGTACCATGCTGGGATATCTTGCTTCAGTATTACAGCCAATACACACTTATTCTAGCGTGATTTTCTTAATGTTCAGATTTTGTTACTTCTCTCCCATTTCTATTCCTATGCTCATAGATTTTTTTCATTCTCTTTCTTATATTCTATTGGTGTTTATAGGAAGTTTACAAATTTTCTTCTGTGATTTCCTCCCAACTGTTTTGCTGGATTCTAAAATACACAATGTAAAAAAAATGTGGTTTGTTGTATTTCATATTTACATTTAAGTAGTAATGTAGAGACGTAGACAAATTTCTCTGTCTTAAGGTGTTTATGCTACTGTGTATGATTATGGATTGAGAAAACAAACTTTGTCGTGAACAGCCTAAGATTTGAATATATGTCCAGAATATGAGTCTGAATTTTGGAGCTATTATGCAAAACGTACATATGTAAAGAACATGGTGTTTTTTCCTATTCTTCGCCTAGGACACAGCATGATGGATACCCTTGCTGTGGCCTTACGTGTTGCAGAGGAAGCAGTGGAAGAAGCTATTTCTAAGGCAGAGACCTACAGTGACAGCCTGGTAACATTTTCCAAAAAAACTCTATTAACTTAAATATAACAATTATGTTCCTTTTAATTTGGGTAGTAGTACAAAACCAAGTAGATACAAAAGAAAATAAAGTAGTATTGATTATCTCATGCCATATCTGAAGAGTTGGGTGTGGGTTTTATGAACTTGTATCCAAGATGCAAGTTGCATTTCAGAAGGTGACATGCAATATAAGTACTTGTAATTTCTTCCCACTGCGCCAATAGGGCATATTGCCCATTTCCTGATCTATACCATTTCTGTGGAAAGGCTGGTTTTATGTGATTTTAGCAACTACGGTTGTCTGTTTTCATGCAGGACAAGCAGAATGAGGCTTGTTACTTGCAGGAACACAAGGAGGACCTCATAGAAGAGCTGGCCACAACCATCGTGCAGAAGGTATGGCATGCATTTTTTCCCTAGCTTGTCTTTAATAGCCAAAACACGATCCTTTAGTCTGGTGAGCTGTGACTCTGCTAACAGGAAAAGGCTGACACCAATGTAGAAAGTAGAGTAAATGACAAGTTGCAACTTCAACTATCACAGTATGGGCTTAATCAGCTACATCTGACAGAGAGATCAATTTATAAATAAGCTTAATCCAGTGACTAAACTGATGGCCTACACCCTCAGAGCTGAGTGATGCCACTCCCTCAGATCTGTGATATCCTTGCTTGGAAGGGGAGGCCCCTGCTAAATGGAATTTTACATCTGTACTTCACTTCCCAAAGGGCACAAAGTTTTCCAACCTAAAGAAGTGTGGCTCTTGATGATGCCAACTCTACTGAAGCCTGCATCAGCAACACATGCAAAGAAAACATCAATCATTAAAATATAATTCTGTTAATGATGCCGTGAGAGACACCCAAGAAATCACAGAACCCTCTGTGTGTCTGATTTCTGTGGCTTTTTCCGGAAAGCTCATTTTCCGAAGCTTGCAGTTGGCACTGACGCAGCACAGAAATGGAGGGCAAGTGGGAACAAATATCCCTTGAGTTTGTCTGGACAGCCTGGAGCAAGGCAAAACGAGCATGAACAGAATGCTACTGAGCTCCCATGATCAGTAAAGTAACCGCTCTGCCAAGTTAGGCTCCCTCCATGTGAACTAAGCTAATTGCCACATCTGTGTGCGGGATGTGGCATTTAACCATGGGTCACACCAGAAGAGGAACGTGGTTTTATAAGGCTATCAAGAAAGCCAGAAGAGCAGCAGCTCAATGGAAAATAATCCGCCTTCTTTTTTAATAGGGATATTAGAAGATTAATTCTGCTTATCAGATCTTTGATAGTCCAGAGACTCTCTCAGCCAAGCTTGAATTGCTACCACTTTTGTCAAAAGCTGCCTAACAAGATCTTTTATGCTGTAGAATAGTATTCTGTAGATATTTTAAATTGGAGTCAAAGGAGTTGTGGAAATGAAGTGTAGAAGGATATAATCTGTCAGTGTAGGGAGACAGGTAGTCTACATGATCTTCTTTCTCTCTTAAGACTGTGTAAGATTTTCAAAAACAAAAATAGCGCCTAGGCACCTAAGACCTCTTTGCTTTCAGTAGAAGTGTGTCTAGATGTCACGGGAGCCTTTGAAATTCCCCTCATATCTGGTATCTTATGTTTCCTTGCAAAAATTCTTGTCTGAGAGAATACTTGACACTTAGATGCTGCTAGTGTTTGAAGTGCTACTGTAGGAACAGGTTTCTATGTTTATTTGATTCGCCTCTGATATTCCTACAGGCATTGATTATGATTTATTGTATCGATGCTTACGCACTTGCAAGCAGTATAACTTCAGATGAGAAGAAATGCATGCAAGTTGTCAGAATCATCCTTGCATGAACTGGAGCAAAAGCAAAGGGAAACTCAAATGTTCTTCCTAGGCAGTTTGCCTTGAGGCAGGGTTAATGTAGTTTTCTTCCATACAGCTCAGATAGTATTTTCCAAGCACCTTTTTTTTCTCCCCTCCCACCCCCACCTCCCTACCTTACAGATTATAAAGAAGCAGAAAAGCAAAACTGAGCAGACCGAGGCTGACTTTGAATGGCCACCATCCAGGAGCAGCGGCCTGGCGTCTGTTGCCGTCTCAGATCAGAGTATGCTGACTTTTCCAGGGAGCCGCAGAGGGTCTTACACGTTATGGGTGAGTGACTTAGCACAACTACTGATGTTTTCTGCTGCACAAAACTGGAAGATTGAAATAATGGATAAGTATACTTACTGCTTGGAATGGTACGTAGAGACTTGCAGAGAACAAGCATTAAACCCATGTCTGGACAGACTGTCCCTCAGTCACGTGCTTTCCTAGCACATCATGGGCCATGGAAGTACATCACAGACATTGTGTTGTATCAGTGAGTGTATTGGGGAGGACTAAGTTTTTGATATGAGCAATCTTGCTGCTTAATATGAATGCTGACAGGACTCAATGCCTGAGTGTTTATTCCTTAAAACAGTTTTTATGCTTACTTAGCTTTTATTTGGATTTTTGCTGAACAGTGTATTTTCTTTTGTACAATGTTAGATTTCTGTAATGTTTTTTTTTTCCTTAGCCATCTTAAAGAAAACAGCCGCCACCACCACCAAAAAAGTAAACACAACTGTAAAGCACCATTTATGTCTTACAGTAAAGAGTATTTCCTCCTCCTTTCACTTATTTCTCAGCAGAATGCCTTTAGCTCCTGCTATAAAGCTGGAGAAAATCTGACAAGCTGCACTGGTAATGTTTTAAGAAGAGCAGTAAGGGAAAAGAGGTGAAAATAAGCTATAGGCTTGGATAGGCTGTTTTGCAATCGGAGGGTGAGGACAGTGACAGATGAGTTCCAGTGCATTTTGCTACAGTGCTTTATGCTGCTGCTCCCAAGTGAGTAGCTCCGCTACCGCGCCAGTAACCACCTCTCCTGCACTGAGCAGAGCCACCAGAATTGATCATGGGCTGGGCCTTAGTTCCCAGCTAAGTTTGCTAGCTTATGCTGCCAGTGAAAATAGATTTATGCCAGAATATAAGACCGTGGGCCAGCATTGCTGCGAAACAGACTTGCATTCTTGTCCCCCACCTATTTCCAAATCGAAGGAGTAATGCCTTTAAGCTGTTGCTGTTAACCAAGTGATCACAAGTCAGGGTAAGCGTGTTTAAGCGCTTTGCTCTGTAGCTCCTAGGCAACTTGCTTGTGGAACATAAGAGCCAGGAGAGGGAGAGTTAATTTTGTGTCTGACATAACTGAGTTTTCTTCCTGGAGTTTAAGGACAGGACCTAGGGGAACATGCTGTTCAAATCCTCAGTTATTATGCCAGAAGCCTGCTGTTGTTCTGCATATGGAGAGTTAAGCTTGAACTCAACACATTTTGAAATTCTGTTCTGAAGTAACAAGTTTGAGTCCCAAATTTTCGCCAGAGGGAGGCTCGTTGGTTTGAGAAATAGTAGATTTTGTGGAAAATACGGGAGTAGCAGAAATGTCTTGCTAAGGTGAGAAAAGCTGCAACAAACAGCTTCAAAACTTCTGCAGCCATCAGTCAGTACTAGACATCCAGGTATGTGCAGTGCTTTGTCAGGACTTTCTACCTCTTTACAGGGTATTTCACCACATTTGTCACCACTTGGTCCAATTGTCATCCCACAGTGTGTTAAGGAACACAAAATAATTTGGCCATCTGGTCTGGATTCTCTCACCCCTCCCATAAATTCAGTTTCTGCCTGTTGCTTTGCTAGGGTTGTTTTAGGTTTTTTTGGTCATTTGAAGTGTGCATGTCTCTCTTTTTGCTTTGCTTTGAATACAGGAGAATTTTCTTAGTATAACCAAACACCCTTGGAACAGTAGCATAGCTCCAGTTGCTCCCGTAGCTAATGTAGTTGCAGTTATGTTAGCCTATGTTAGGCTAACACAAATAAAGTCATAGAAGCTCTAACAAAGGGTCTACTGGAAAGCACACTGAAAGGCAATTCATGCAGAGCAAATGTAGAGCAGTTACAGCCTGCTTGTTTCTCATCAACAGCGGTGGAACAACCAAAATTCCTTTTCCTGAGCTTGCTTTCCATTCAACTTTGCTTTCATTCAGCTATGAATGGTCAGCATGCATCTGTCAGAAGATTTGGAGGACTAAACTGCATCAGTTTCTCCTCTGTATGTCATTTGAGAAAGTTACCTTTTCTGCCAAAAGAATGAAAATATTAAATATTAAAAAAATAATTCTTTTTTTTTCTTTCCAAACCAAAACCTAGCTTCTTCGGAAGCTGGCAGAGAGGCCCTATGGCCGTATGCCCTTTCCAGGCAAAGCTCCTTACTCCCTCTCAGTTCCCAGGATGTTGGAACTCTTGAGTCTAAGCTTGTAACAGCAAATCTTCATGGGCTCCACTGCAATAAGTGAAGTTTTCATGTTTCCCAACTGATGACATTATGCTGACCAAAAAATCCTGAACTCTTGATTTGTGTGCACACCCTACCATTGAGCTGTGTGTGTTGGCTTAGTTTGAGCAGAGATCTGCCTGTAGCGATAAAAACCTGTTCTTACTAGTACATGCCACAGCTAACAAGGCGGCTTTTGCAACAGATTTATTAGCACAGATGTTCCTAGTGTAACCAAGGTTTTTGTAGACAGACTATGTGGCCACAACAACCCCAAGGGAAGAAGAAAAAAAAAAAATAATCTGTGCCTTTTTTTATTCTATGAAAGCTACCAAAGCTGACTATTACTAGGCTAGAGTTATGTACATGAACCTGTTTCTCAAGAAGGATTATTTAAGTAGAGCTTCCTGTGTTTAAGACTTTCTTTGTTACCTGGCAAACAAATTAGTACTTACCTCCCTGCTCATGCCTCTTTGTAGCACGAAGCAACGGCTGTATGTGGAAACTTGAGCTGTGCAAGCTGAGGACAGCCCAGTACCAAGAGACCAACTGTATGAGACCTGTCTGACTGGATCAAAATCTATTGATCTTCATGTTAAGGAACACACACGCGATATCTCCCTGAAATAGATTATTGATTTTTTAACTGCAGCACTGTGGTGTGGTAGTAGCTATAGATATTGTCTTTTCCTTTTTTCTTCTTAGATTTCTTTGAGATCCCGTGCCTGTGCTAAAAATAGGGATACAAGGCTGAATGTTTTATTTCTCCATCTCATAAAAAGAGATGGATGGCACCATCTGTTTCTCATTACCAGTAAGCAAAGGCTGTACCATGTTGGGATAGGAGGAGCTTAGAGCAAGGGGTGGATGCTCCTCTGCTCTCTCAGTCCATTTCCCTCCCGTATATCACTGCCAGTGAGAGCAAACGACCAGTTGGCATATTATACCCGTTTAAACATTGATAGAGTGCAGGCATCCTGGTGTGTTCTAAGTGCTGTATTAGTGGTCTTTATTTTACAGCTAAAAGATTGCATATATAAACAGAAGCTCATCCATAATTTATAGTATATAAAACAGCTAGGGATATAGGGAAAAGAAGGATATCATTAAATACACATTATGATGCACCTCAGGGGAAGCAGAAATTTACTGGTTAAGCTAATTATAAGGTCCACAGTGTACTGACAGTTGTTTTTTTTTTTTTCTTTTTTTTTTTTTTCCTTCAATTTGTTTTAAACAGAACATTCCACAAGCCTGAGGTCCAACACTGCTTTGGAAATCCCTGGAGGTTTTGCAGGTGCTCTATGCCCTTGTGGGTTTGTCCCAAACAAATATTTGTAGAAAACTCTTTTGGGGAGGAATCCTGTTTAGCAGTCACACAACACAATGGGAGAGCTGCTTCAGATGAGGGAGGCATAGAACTGTAGGAAGTTGATGCCAGCTGATATCAGTTGTTACCTGTCAGTGATTCTGTATCAGAAACATCACATTTATATCTAATTAATAAATATGTCTTGTCATAGGGAAGACAGAGCTTTTAGCTTTTATGCATTTTTAGCTTTTATACATGAGCTGGAATCAGAAGGTTGCACAGAGTGTGTTGCTGGGACCTACTTCCAATGAGGCAGGTGTGCATTTATCCAGAAGCCCGTCAGCGGGATCCTGATGGGTTATTTACTGTCTTGTTTCCTTCCAGAAGCAGCCACTGCAGCACCCTCTTCTCTGCACAGACTGGGAAAGAACAGTACACTTTGAGATGGGAAAGCACTTGGTACTTTAGAAAAAAATGTGTCTTTTTTAATTCATATTTATCATGAGAAGTTTCAGCTTTCTCTAAGTGCTTTGCAGGTTACAAATCTTGCTGTCATCTGCTGAGTTTGCAAGTGAAACATTGTAGTCTCACTGCAAAAGTGGCCTGGAGTTACCTGGCCATATGACACTTTATGCATTTCACATCAAGATGGCCCTGTCCATAATATTCTGATTGATTTCCCTCCTTCCAGTGTAGCAGAAGGATAGGATACAACCGCTTTTGTAATTCTGACTCAGCAATTAGTACCACTTTTTAGGTGGCTAAATAATCAGTGCAATGCTAAACATGACAGCATTGTCCTTTTAAAGTTGTTTGTCTAGTTTGAATTGGTTTGAGATGTATCTCTAGCAGAAGGTTACTGATTCTTGGTTTCATAATATTATTCATGCACTTGACAAACATCCAAGATGACAGTTTTGGGTGCTAGATGTATGATCAAGCCCGTGCAGGGCTAAATTCAGCTGAATTACACTTACTGCCAGCAAGCCAAGATAGGTTTTAAAGTGTAAAAGGGAGTAGGGGAGAGGACAAAGAAGGATGGTCATTCTATAATGTTATTTTCCAAAGAATGTAGATCATATGCTGTTCTTTCAGTTTTATTTTGTTTTAAAGATGCTATCATAATACACTGCTGGGTATCACAAAGCTTTAAGGTCTAGCTTGAAACCTGTGATGCTCAGAGATAGGCTGCCTGACAAATCTTACTTTATTTTTAGATGAAATCAGGGTGTATATTGTCACAGCGAGAAGCAAATAAACACAGAACACTTAAGGCTTCCTCTGTCGAGTGGGTGTTCGAGTAGATGTGGTGATTCGCTCTGACGGGCGAGTGCACTGCTTGAGCGCAGCTTTGTGGACAAGGGTTGGAATTGGGACATGAAAGGTTGTGTGGGGCACTGAGCAACCTAGAAATTAATGAAAATAATCATGTTCAGTAAAGAGTATTCTCTTGGGGGAAAACATGAGTTTATGTGTGAGGCTGCAGTT